AGACATGATTTTAGACCAACAATAGTTTCTCATCAAAAGCAAAACATATACAATACCATTTTGTAACATTTTCAACAGCTCAAAGATGCACACTGAAGCTGAATTTGATCATTACATGGAAAAAAGAGATCACAGAAAATGCACACATTCTACTTATGTAAAATCATGGCTATTATAGCCCATGCTTATTCAAAAACACTATTCTGTCTGCATTTTAAAAATGTTCAACCAAAGGATCATGAGGAAAATAAGCAAGGGGAAACCATCCAGATAATAGCTTTTAAAATACACAAATAATGCAACCCTCAACTGAGAAATAAATCCCATTAATTGGATCTACTTCCAGGTAAGTGTGCATGGGATTCCAGTTACATAGAATTAACATTATGAACCCCAATCCATCAACTAACTAATGGTATACTTAAAATCTAAAGCAGATTTTTAAACAGTGACATATTAATAACCTTCCCACATTTTTCCCTTTTCTAAAGATCTTCCTATTGAAATCGGTCTTTGTGTTGAAAGACCTCTCTCTTTCCAACTTTACACACTTTAAATGTGCTGGACAAAGTCAGTTGTCATACTAGTTGGAGGCACTAGGATTTATAGTGTATCCCATGCAGAAGGTGCCAAGTTGGGGAACCTGGTAATCTCCAAGTTAACACTATTTCACATTTACTTCTTGAATTCTGGGCTGTCAGCATGCTTTGTTTTAAGCAATATTGGGCATCTATTAAACAGATGACTTACATCATTCCATATTAGTAAAAAAAAAGAGAGAAAGAGAGAGAGAGAATAACACTATTTTTAAAAAGATGTACAATTAGATCAGTGGTTCTCAACTTGTGGGTACCCAGGTGTTTTGGCCTACAATTCCCAGAAATCCCAGCCAGTTTATCAGCTGTTAGGATTTCTGGGAGTTGAAGGTCAAAACAAGTGGGAGACCCAAAGGTTGAGAACTCTTGAATTAGACAAACATAAAGGGCACTTTCAGTGAAAAAAAGAACTGTAAAGATACATACATACAAACTGTATTGCCATTTTACTTTAAATTTATCCTTGAATTCAGAGACCATATTTCTTTGAAAGAAAGTTCATTTTAGAATGTTTTCTGGGTCCATAAAAACATGACAAACTGGCTTGACTGCACAGTACAACTGAACTGCATTGCATCCAAATCACACAATCATAGAATCCTAGAGTTGGAAGAGACCTCGTGGGCCATCCAGTCCAGATAAATATAAATAAAGCCCATAAAATACATTTGTTGTTTTTATTTGCCATAACATTGTCTATGATTTATGACAATCAAATTAAAGAGAGATCTTGAATATCCATAATTATTAACAACCTGCTAAGTCCTAAAAACTCAGAGCTGTGGCTTCCTTTATTAGGTCAATCCATATGCATGACTCATAATGTAGTCTACCTCTTTTCCTATGGTCTTCAACTCTTTTGTGAATTATCATGATTTCAGTAAGCCATGGCATTTCCTGAAATGTCCAAAGTATGGAGGCATTAATTTACTCCTTTTGCCTTCTAGATTACATTGAATTATGGAATTCCCTCCCATGAGAGGCCAATAGGCAAGATTTTTTTATTTCACCTTCCACTTTTAACTGATTGTGCAGAAGGGATTTTTCATGGGGTATGCTGCACTTTGGTCTCAATGTATTAGACCCATTTTAAATATTTTCAGATTGTTTTAAATGAGTTTCAATACTTTGTCTATTTAAGTTTTAAAAAATATGTTTACATTAGATAATTTCTTAATATTTCTACTGTAAATAAACTTATATAGTAAACTGCCTTGGGTCCCATATTGCAAAAAAAAAAAAGTATGGTATAAAATGAAGAAAGACATAAAAAGTGTTGCAATAACTGAAATAAATGCCTGCTGGGGTCACCTATTAAAACCCACAAATATGGCAGTTTTATCACTTCTTCTTGACATGCATATGAGACTATGGTTATTTTTGAGATGCTGGTTTAAGAAGCATGAAAACATGAAGAGTCCACTGTTGATCTCCCAACATCTGACTCTCCTGACTTTGGAGTTGCCAGTCCTATTCATTTTATCCATCATAGCCAATGGAGAGAGATGGTAGTCCAATATTATCTGGAGTATTCTCCAAGCCTATTCTAAGGTCCTTCATTCAGAATATGTGTCAGGAGTCGCCAATTCATCAGTTCACTATGGATCTGGTGAAGCTACTCTGCAAGGGCTTTCTCAGTGCTGAACTTGGGACCAGAACAGAGATAACTCATGTACAATGCATGGAAGCTGCAAATGAAACAGAAAAGTGGACTCATTGTCCTTGCAGCAAGTTTCACCAGGTGCATCAAAGTAATTGACTTCATTTCTTTCTCAGTTCTCTTACAACTATCTTGCAAATAAAAAAATGCTGGCTCATTTTTTTCAGGCTTGTACGAGGTTGTCTACTGAGGAAGTACTCCATGGCCTTTGCACGAAGATACTCAAAGACCTTTGTATTGACCTGGAGGTGCCCTCACCAAGAGTTCATATAGTTGTTCTTGCTCTACAAAGCTAAAATCAGAAAATTACGTCTGACGTTGGCATATTGTACATCACATTATTATTCATGGGTTGAGAAAGAGGACATTTAAGTCTTAATTCTTCACTTGTAAACAAGGACAAAATGAGCCTGGACCACAAGTTTCATTTTCTGTTCTCAAACTGAAGGAAATCACAGATTGGATATCCACTCTACTTTAATACCACTGTATGGCATCATATGGAGTCCTGGAATTTTTAGTTTTCCTGTGCTCAGAATTCCTGGTGGAGGTCTCTAGCTCTGTTATTCAGAGGAATGCATCAGAACTCTCTAGCAGAGAATTTGAAGTACCTAGCAAGTTATAAATTTCAAGATTCTGTAGGATTCATGATAGCAAAAGCAGCACTAATCTATTGTAACTGTGTAAATACATTCTATACACCTATCTGTTGAACAAAGTACTCCATTTTTGTTTATACATAACTGATCTTAAAGTAAGAGGACTCAATATGCTACCTTTCAAAGGTAAAATGAGAAATATTTTCCAGGAGAATGCACTATATCTGGTGTCCAAAGAGTGACAAATTTGTAAAATATGCAGCCACCCATACTCTGATTCTGTCTGGAAGAATTGGGGAATTAATTGATGATATCTAGCTTTTCTGAATTATTTTGTAAAACCTTATATACCTGAATCTCTGTCCTATATTTATTGTTTGTGATGGCAACATGGTTTTAATAGATACGAATGATTCCTGGTGGCAAGCCTCACTTTTGACATTGCTTCCTGATCTCATGTTTGTTCTTTCATATACACTGAAAACCAGTGTCATTTCCTTACTCACTTAGTTAGCCTTCCAAGATAGTGTCTTCACTCATAATGACAATCCTTCCTATTGCAATATCTTTTGTTAGCTTCTTTTTGTTGGAGTAGAGGAACTGCAAAGTATGAAGCAAGAATTTTGGAATTCGTAGGTGTGGTTGTTAAGAGGAATTTTATTTTCGGTTTCTTTAGGCTTTGAGCAAATAATAATCATGAAGGAAAGACAGTGTCCTACATATAGTTAAATGACGCTGCCATGCTGTTGCTGAGTTTTCTTGTACATATATATAAGGAATTCTCAGGCACTGTGTCCCTGCCTATCCAGGATTATTTTAGTACAGTTTCTGACTGGCTCCACCAAATCTCACAAGCACTAGTGAGTGTCACTATGGAAAAGTTGTTAAAATGTTGGAGTGGGACTTGGGAGATTCAAATATTTCATGAGCCATAAAGTGCTCATTATTTCACCTTTCACCTGGCTAACGGGGTGCATCTACAGTGTGGAATGAATGCAGTTTGACCCTGTTTTCACTGGCATGGCTCAATGTAATGGAATCACAGGAGTTGTAATTTTGGAACGATTCCATCACCATTGCCTCCAAAAAATCCTGCAAATCTCTTGGGAAGGCAGGCAGACAAATGTCAGCATGCTGGAAGAAGCAAAGATTATTAGCATTGAAGTGATGCTTCTCTGTAATCAACTCCGCAGGACTGGCCATGTTGTATGAATGCCCAATCATCATCTCCCAAAGCAATTACTATACTCCCAAATCAAGAACATGAAACATAATGTGGACAGGAAAAGAAATTTAAAGATGGGCTTAAAGCTAACCTTAAAAATTGTGGCATAGACACTGAGAACTGGGAAGCCCTGGCCCTTGAATGCTCTAACTGGAATTCAGCTGTGACTAGCAGTGCTGTAGAATTCAAAGAGGCATGAATGAAGGGCGAAAGGGAGGAATGTGCCAAGAGGAAGGTATGTCAAGCCAGCCCTAAACAGGACAACCCTCCACCTGGAAACTGATGTTCTCACTGTGGAAGAACATGCGGGTCAAAAATAGGGCTCCACAGTCACCTATATATCCACCGCCAGGACACTGTACTTGGAAGGCCATCATATTCGGACAACAAGGGATCACCCAAGTAAGTAAGTAAGATAATGATGAAATTATAGAAGTTGTAATTTTGCATTTTCTTTAGCCTTCTCTGCCAAGGAGTGATGGTGCCTCACCAAACTATCAATCCCAGGATTCCATTGAGCCATGGCTGTTAAAATGGTATCAATCTACATTCATTCTAAATGTGGATGCATCCTTGGAGGACAGTCATCCCCTTTCAGCATGGCCTACTTCAATAGCTTTTTGTGCGGATAAAGTGGACACGTACTTCATTGGTTGAAAAATGTAACATAAATCTACGTAATTAATAAACAAATAAATACAATCTTGCAGGATTAGGATACTTTACAATGATATAAAAATATGATTGTCTAGACAGTCTGAAACATAATTCTCTTCGAACTGAACTGTTGATTCTAAAAGTAAATTTCTCCACCAGGCAAGGACTCCTTGGCTTAAAGAATGAAATGGAAGAATGAGTTGTACAGGATGTGAATAGTTCTTTAGATTCCTGTCATAATGAAAGTATGCATATGTACTGCATATATATATATTTAGTTCAAATTTCCATATTAAGCAATATGCATGCTGGATATGCCAAACAATGTCCATGTCTTCTATTTGAAGAAGCAGATACAGATGAACATAGCCAACATTGGTCAATTCAGGGTTAACTGCATTCTGATTGCATTTCAACTGAATTACAATAAATTGCCCACAGCCTGGTTTGATTCCACTGCATATCCATAAATGCAAGAATATTCAGATTGCAAGAAAAGTGTCTAAATCTTTGTAATGGTGTACGTGAGAGAGCATGTATTTATAATGGCACATAAAATGGTGTTTCTTAAATATAACATTTGTTTATTTATGTCTAGTGCAAAAGAAATGTTTCTAGTAAATCTTTATTCTTTAACATTTGTTTATAATGTCTCTATAATTACCCTTTTAAATTAAAGTTGCACAAATTTCCCAACCCATTTTCTTTCCAGCAGAGTTTGTTTTATTTTGCAGTAGCCCACTGCTTTCTTTAAAAAGGCAATATGTTGAGCTTAGATATGAATTCGCCATAAAATATTCAGTACTGTGTATAACAGTGTCAAAAGTCTAGTATAGGTTTCAGTCAAAATATAATTACAAATCTATCCATACAAATTGAAAATTATTGGGTGTTCTGGACAACTGTTGATAGTTCATGCTGGAAGGTAACTGTTACCTAGAATAGAATAAGTTATAAAGAATTAATTTCTCTCCTTATCAAATAAGAACTCTTAATTAATCAATTAGAATTTGCTAGTTTTGTAGAAGAATGATATCAGATAGCCAATTTATCTACTTCAGTATTGACCAGGCATTTTGGCCAGAGTACCCCTGCTACAAGTCCAGAAATAATGGCAAGCTGGGTACATTCCAGAGTCCCTGCAGCCCTCTAGCAATTATTCTTTATTCAGTCAGGTGGGAAGCATCCCAGAAGTAGCACTAATCCAGATCAAGTCCTGACCATTTAATATCCTAGAAGCTGGCTACTCATGCTCCGTTTCAAATGCTACTAACATCTTTAACACTTACGCTTTGAAAAGTTTTTCAAAGGACATTTGGAAAGACCTGCTGGACACACAAGCAATCTTTAGCAAAGATCCTATTGTAGCTTTTTCAGGGTCACAGTACTTTACACAGCAGATTATCTGTACTCCAGACAACACCTGTTTGCATTACTTATTCATTGAAAAGTTAGGAATTCACAAAATGCAGTGTTCCCTTCTTGTTCATCTCTGCCTCCTCCTCAGTTCAAAAAAAAAAGCAAAGAAAGTTTTTGTTCTGCTCAAACGCTGTAATGAGCTACGAGCAAAACTCTTTGTTTTGCCTTGGGGCTTATGTCCGTGGGGGGCTCTGGATTCTGGAGGCTAACAATTGCATTCTGGTGGTCTGAGGAAGGCTGTCCTGCTGAAGCAGCAACAAATGTGAAGTTGTCCTGTTTCCGGATGCTGCGACACACTCGAGTCGACCTTGAAGAACATTTGTTGCTGGAAGCGATGGATTTCTTGCCACATTTTAGAAGAGCACAAAAGCACCTGTAAAACTAACACAGATATATAGATGTTACATATATTTAAACCTGGGATGCAATGGGCCTATTATTTCTCCATGACATTGAACAATCTGGTACCCTGCAGCATCCAAGTTAAGACAAACCATAATATGCAATGGTGTTCCAGCTGGCTTAGTGAGCTGGCATGCTCAAGAGTAAACAGAAATTAGGGAGTGAAATCAAAGCTTGGAAAATAAAATAAATTAGCAGATACAACAGTCATTTTGGGTTGATATATTTACTGAATACTGTTTTAAAGAAGCCTTATTCCCTCCTTTCTTTCTCTTTTGCAAATCCTGGTGGGAGCGCTAAAGCCATTCTGTCACAAGAAGGTACATAAAATATAGTAAATGAATATCCCATTATATTAAAAATAGAAATCAAGGAAGAAACCTGCGGAGTTTATTCTCTCCCTGCACACAAAGCTTTGGAATGTCATTCTTTGGCTGAATATCACATTCCTCTCTGAGGAAATGGGCGAGGTCACCTGAGAAGAAGAGTACTCCACTGCTAGTTCCAGCATATGTGCCACAAATGGGATGGGACTGTACTTTAGAGTATGACAAATACCCTGTATCCATTATCTTGGAAGACTCCTGAAAGTAAGAGAGTGAAGATCTGGCAGACTGACTACATCTTAACCATTCATTACATTGGATACACAAGCTGTAGTAGTTATTGGTACTCTGAGAGACCAGCCAAGAAAATGCACTGGATCTCTTTCAGCAAGTCACTCCTCTCAAGACTCAGGGGAAAGCAGAAGCCAAACTTTTGTGAACAGGCCTTGCCCTGACATATCCGAGATAAGTTTACCTCAGGGTCACTATAGATCAGAAATTACCTGAAGGTACACAACAAAAGACTGGTAAATTAATCTTGATGGTAATGAGGGACTATTTTCATTTTGACTTGTTGCCTTGAAGCTTGTGCTGGTGGTAAAGTGAGTATTGATTGAATAATTGACTAAATAGTAGCACCTGAAGATAGCAAGCTACATTCTCTTCTAATATTCTGCCGTCTCTTCCCATCATGTGACAACTGCTTCATTCTGTCTAATGGAGGGACTCTTTATCATGTCAAAACCAAATTGGGAATATACTGCAACTTGCTTCTGGTGTGAGAGAATTGGCCATCTGCAAGGATATTGCCCAGGGAATGCCCGAATGCGTTACCATCCTATGGGAGGCTTCTCTCATGTCCCTGCATGGGAAGCTGACAGGCAGGAGCTCACCCCATCTTGCAGATTCAAACCACTGACCTTCAGGTCTTCAGGTCAGCAGTTCAACCAGCAGTTCAGCCAGTCGGCTCCATGGAAGGGCTGGCCCTAAATGATAGCTGGAATTGAAGAACAAACTTGCAAAACAACTTCCTCCACATGACTGCTTTATTTTTCTTCTCATGGTAGTTCCTGACATATAAATGGTTTGCCTCACAGTTCAGGCAGTTTTCTACCTATCTCCACCAATCCTTATTTGAGAGTGATTGTCAAGAAAAATCCTTGGGTTCATATGATAAAGCTAGAACATGGAAATATTGCCTCTTTTGATACTTCTAGAATCACACAGTTAGCATGAAGATGGTCCCTCTACACAAGCAATATCTGGTCTGACTGGAGAATGCTGGGAGTGTAGCAAAGAAAATATTTTCCCTGAGCTCTGGCTGCACAGAAAAATCTTCTAGAATTGTGGCTGCCACCCCATGACTTAGTTTAAAGAATAGTTATATCATACATACTGGTCTTTTGCACTGTAGCATCAGACCCTAAACTAAGGCAGGAAACAGTGCATAGACAGGAAAGGAGAATGGGAACAAAAAAAAAAGGGCAATATTAAAAATTGCAGTTCTTTTGTACAGCAATAGCATGAATAATCAATCACTCAGCAAAATGTGTGTTGTGTGCCTTGAAGTTGTGTCTCCTGGCAAACCTAAGACTGAAAGAGTGGAATTTGGCCAAAGTCACCCAGGGATTTACATGGCTGTAAAGGGGGTTTGAACCCAGAGACAAAGGCTCCTATCTACATTGACACTGGTGCAATTTCAGAATCCAGATTACCATAACTGCACTGAATTAGATTATATGACAGTATGGAATCCTATAATCCAGATCAATGCATTACATTCTGAAATTGCATCATATGACAGTGTAGATCTAACCATAGTCCAACACTCAAACCATTACGCCACACTGGCATAATGGTAGACCAGGGGAAAGGCAATACAAGGTGGGCCCTTGATATCTGCCAAGGTTTGTTTCCAGGACCCTGGTGGATACCAAAATCCATTGATGTGACAGTAAAATTATGTCCATTATATAACATGGCAAAATAAAGATTTGTTGTTTAGGGTTTTCTTTAAAAAAATCAAGCTGTAGATGGTTGAGTTCAAGGGTACAAAATCCATTTTTTATTTATCGTGTCAGGAGCAAGCCAAACAGTTGTATTGCATTTTTAACAAACAAACAAAACAAAACAAAGTTTTCAAGCTTGGTAGTTGATTAAATGTCCTTTGACCAGTAGACATGAATATAAAGGAAATATAGAAATCTATATAGAAAGATAGAATCTTCTCCCATCCAAAAGCATCCAGTCTAATTATGTATATAAATAGAAATACTTTCTATAATTACTTAGAAATCATTCTTAAAGGTGCTAAAATGATATATGAAATTATATTGGTTAGGAATATTTTGCCATATGACAAAAGTACAGAAATATTGGATTGAAATACACATGGCAGAAAAAAATAAAAAAATAACAGAAAAGACCAAAATTGTATTTGTTGGGAGGTATATTTGGGCGAGGTATATTTGGAGGTGAAATACAAAGGATTCTTCGATATATGATAGCAGCTGTGATAATTTTATATGCCAACAAAAAAGGATTGCTTGGCCAAAATGTATGAATTGTCTGAAACATCCAAATTAAAATTTCTGATCAAGGAGAAATCATTTAGTCCCTTCTATACTGCCATATAAAATCCAGATTATCTGCTTTGAACAGGATGATATGGCAGTGTGGACTCATATAATCCAGTTCAAAGCAGATAATGTGATAATCTGAATTATATGTCAGTGTAGAAGAGGCCTAATATTAAGAAGGACTGGGTCATGGTTGTTACTTTGGTGAAGACAAGATTAGATAGGTTGGAGAGATCAAGACATAGTGTGTGAGAGAGATAGTTGAAATAGGCAGTTAATAGAAATAAAATAAAAATAACATTCTATGGAAGTTCAAATATATATATCGATCATAATCTCTGATTAAAAGGAAGTCATATTATGCCTTCCTGTAGTGTAAAATATATTTTCTACTATGTAACACATAGAGTTTATATATACTGTTTTCCTTTAATGCTGTTTTATATAAATAAACCATGTTGAATATATATATATCGCATGTGTATGTGTGTATACCATGTTGAATGAGGTTGTCCAGCACAGCATGCATTTCATTTATTTATGTATTTCAACAGTGAGCTTTTGGGTGAAGAGAAGAATAACATATTAAGGTGAAAACGTAGTGCTTTGATCCAAACAGTAGGTGGTATGTATTAAAGATGAACGAAAAGGCTATGGTGAGAGCACATCAGGGGCAGAATGGTGAAAAGAACGCAATCAATAACATTGCACATCATTCTTATCTTTGCTTGATAAGATTTGTTTTGAGACACTTTTTCGGTTCAGAGATCCCATCTAAACAAAACATAAGAAAAAATGAGCATTGTATTTATATGCTAGTGGTGCTTTAGATTAATATTGCCATAGTTTATATCTTAGGCCACTCCATTCATTCCCTTTATTATTAATGTGGGGGGAAGAGGGCATCGGGATTCACCTAGAGCAGGGGTCCACAAACTTTTTAAACAGAGGGCTAGGTCACAATCGCTCAAACTGTTGGAGGGCCGGATTATAATTTGAAAAAAAAAAGAATGAATTCCTATGCACGCTGCACATATCTTATTTGTAGTGCAAAAACACTTATACACAATACAATAATTAAAATGAGGAACAATGTTAATAAATATAAACTTATTAGTATTTCAATGGGAAATGTGGGCCTGTTTTTGGCTGATGAGATAGGATTGTTTTTGTTGTTGTGTGCTTTTAAGTAGTTTCAGACTTAGGTTGACCCTGAGTGAGGGCCGGGTAAATGACCTTGGGGGGCCGCATCCAGCCCCCGGGCCTTAGTTTGAGGATCCCTGACCTAGAGATAAACATGATTATTCTTGTTATTATTATTATATTTATTATTATCATTATGTTTATTTATATCCCATTTTTCTCTCCATACAAAGACTCAAAGTGGTTCACAACTAAAAGCATTTCAATACAACTTAAAATATACAAATATTAAAACAGTATTCAACAACATTAGTATTAAAACAATCCAGGTTAAAACCATAAAAGCATATAAAGTCACATCACAAAATCACAGCAGCTCTTGATGGTCTTAAACACCATGTCATGGAAATGTAGAAGGTTGTAACTAAGACTTCAAATGGCTTTCTAATGCTGATGTAATCAGAAGCAGGATTCACTTTGTGAGCTGTTGCAGGAAAGGTGATGGAAATATGCTGTTTTAGCAAGATGGTCAGCTTACAGTTTGTTTCTATTCATGTCTACTTAAATAACCCATAGGATTTCTATGGGGCTTGCATCTATGTACATAGGAAACAATTTTGCCCATGATGCCCAGCATGCAATAGCAGATAAGTGGCAAAGTAAGCTTGGATGGGTGGATGGCAACCACACTGATTGATAATTGGCAAATAGAGGGAGAAAACTTGGAGGCAGTGACAGACTTTGTATTTTTTGGCATGAACATTACTGCAGACACAGACTGCAGCCAGGAAATCAGGAGAGTATTTACTTCTTGGGAGGAGAGCAGTGACCAATCTCGATAAAATAGTGAAGAGTAGAGACATTACACTAGCAACAAAGATCTGCATAGTTAAAGCAATGGTATTCCTTGTAGCAACCTATGGATGTGAGA